ATTCTCAGTATTTTAATGAAGATTTATAAAGTTGATGTTTCATGTTGAAAACAAGTGATTGATCAGTAATTTGAGAGGAAGAATCATGAAACTGAAAACATCAGGTTTCAGCCGGTGGACATGACGTTCTCGATCCAATCCAGGAAGTTGCTGACTTTGGCGTAGACGCCGTACAGGTTTTCCTTGGCGCAGCCCTTCCCCCAGCTCACTACGCCCGTCAGGAACCAAGTTTTCTTGTAACGCGTCACCAAAGGGCCACCGCTGTCCCCCTCGCAGGCGTCATATCGTCCCGTCCTGAACCCGGCACAGAGCATGTTCCTGGTGATGTTCAGTTTGGTGTGGAGGCGGCACTCGTGCAGAGGGACCCTCGGCAGCACCAGTCGCTGGAGGACTCTGGCGGGGAGGCCAAACTGTGCCATGCGGCCCCAACCGGACACGGTGGAGTGCCGGACAGTTGCCATTGTCCTGATGAAGCTGCTGTTCCGGGCGGGAAGGCAAATGGGCACTACATAGACGCCCAGTTTCACCGGGTGGTAAAGCTTCAGCAGGGCCAGATCGCTGTCGGAGCTGGATTGGTTGTAACCTTGGTGGATAAACACTTTGACTACACGCCGCCGCTGCTCCGTCTTCTCGTCCTGCTCACGGTCATGTTCACCTGCACAGGGAGAGAAGTTTCATATATTCAGATCGATATGCATGCATATTATGTTTCATAATAAGTACAGGAGAGGACAGAAAAAAAATCATCTTACCAACGATGACGTGGAAAATGGCGGAAGGTTTTCTCCAAATGCAGTGAGCTGCAGTTAAAATCCACTGATCTGATAGGACGATGGCTCCACATATATAATCATTATTTTCAGTCAACAGAGCCTGGACAGAAAGGAAGACTCTTCAACATCGTCATCATCATCATACTCTGTGTTCTAGTTCAGTCTCAGTTACATGACATTACTGTAAATATCCAGTAAATTCGTCTTTATTAAATATCCTAATTTAAAACCTGTACTCTAAGGATTGCGTGATCAGGAACATACCTGCCATGGACATTCTCCTTTAGGGCAGACTTTCCCTCTAACAACCCTGGGGCCAAAGTGTGACAGAGGTCTTCCACAGGGGACGTCATCTGGACCGGAGGGACGAGAAACACGTTCTTGTCGTTTACCTTGTCAGATTTTTGATTTGGCTCATTTCACAAAGTCATTTCTGGTTCATTTGTGGTCATAAGCTTAATTTAGTTGCTAAGTGGTTAGTTAGTTGGTGGTAAATGTGTCAATAATGAGTTATTGTCTGGTTGCTATGGCATCCAGTGGTTGTTATGGTTTTCAGGCAGTTGCTGGTTGATTACTGCCGCTGTTTTCATAGTGGTCGTCAGGGTGTTGCTAGGGTATCCTTTTTCAGGGAGGGTACAGTGTTCTGTGAAAGTTCTGAGTAACAGTTCTGATTGAACATTAGTACAACGTTACTACATCATCACTACAATGTGACTACAGTGTTGCAGCAGCAGTGAAGCAGACCTTCGGGCAGACAGGTGCTGTTGTCCTGAGCCAGTTTGTATCCCGGAGCACAGAAACAGACGTAAGAACGATCTGGAATCTCTCTGCAGAAATGTTCACATCCTCCGTTTCCATAGCGACAGTTGCTGGAGGTCGAACGCACTGTAAAGAGACATGGACGAAAACCACGTTGTTTGACTTAATCGTTGACTTCATTTTTTGTCGCAGCCAGCATTGCTCCTACCTTTGTTGCAGTTGTATCCATGGAAACGAGGTGGACATTTGCAAAAGTATGTGTTGACGTGGCGAGTACAGGTGGCTCCGTTCTTACAGGGGGACGAGAGGCAGTGGTCCACCGCTATGCGCAGTTGCAAAGTAAACATTTGACACTTAAAGTTGATGTTTGTTAAATGAATCTTAAAAAAAGCTAAAGGCTGTCATGTTGCAGTACCTGTGTATGTCCTCCAGAAGGTTTCCTGAAAAAGACAAAGACAAATGAACAACAGTAACAGTAGCTGCTATGAACCATGACAGCGTTTGAGACCGAAAATAAAGAGGGACGACCGTAACCACTTCTCCACACTGCACAAAATTAAGCCAAAATATCTTGGCTATGAACGCTGCCATCTTGTGGTGATGATGTAATTGGCAGTCATTTGCCCTACTTAGCCATAGTGGTGCTGTAGTGGGCCTTGGTCCCTCTCATACATGCTCTGGACCAATCATGTCGTCTCAGCCTGTTTTTATATCATTAATAACTGATCAAACCAAACTGATCAGAAACACTCGAACAAACATCAGAGAGATAACGAGCTGAAACGACAGAAACATCTTTACACATTTATTTGACGTCTTCTTTGATTTTTTGGTTTATGTCCCATCTGCTAACATGCTAACATATTATCTATACTGCCCGGCAGCCAACAGGGGGCGTTCCAATTGATTAAGGAGCTTACATGTCGTCCATCTTTATTCATTGTTTGGATCTGGACTGACCAGCTGCTGAGGCAGAGCAAAGATCTCCTTCGCCTCCTCATAAGAACATTTCTCCTCCAGACACTCGCGCTCCAGATTTCCTGCTTTCAGCTCCTCCAGCAGGAAATTCGCCCGACGACTGCGATGCAGGAAAACACTCGCCTCAGGTCTACTCACAAACACTTCTGCTTTAACACAACACAGGACAAGTGGGCTCTAGAGGGACGTTATGAAATAACAGTGAAGATCGGTTTAAGCTAGAGTGAAGGTTTGATAGCATTAGCATGACTATTTGATCAAAGCCTGATCAAAGCCAAAGAGCTAGTTATTGAGTTGTTAGCCAGCTTGTCCACATGTTTACTTCCTGATTCCAATTGAGACAACACCTTCTTTATTAACTATACGTTTTCGGACTAAAACTCGTCTCATGAATAAATTGTAGGAAATATAGCTGAAGTGGAAACAAGTGGAGAAAAACATGCTATGGTAATATTAGCATTGTTAGCAGAACATACAGCTCACTGACACTTGTAGGACAGAAGTGAATGACTTAACTCATTAATTGAAATTTAATACAGACGAAGATGAGATTAAGAAGAAAAAGAAGCAGAGGAATGACCTTCAGTAAGCCCAGTGCATGCTGGGATTGAGGCGATGAGGAGCTGTAGGATGAAGAGTCGCCTCGTTTCTCCGTTCACAGACGCCATGTTTGTTCTGATCAAAGTTCAAAAACACTGAAAACACAGAAACATCCTCTGACGTCCTGAATATCAGCTGAGTTCTCCGACTGCTGCTCCGTCACTTTGAATAGCTTTAGTTTGAAGTGAGCTGGAAAAGATGTCAAACACCTTCATCAGTCAGAGAAAGGTTTACGTTTAGGTTTGGACAAAGTGAGGTAATGAACAAGACCAAATTCAACATGTCTGTTGGGTTCAGACAGGAACAAAATATGAAATCTGCCCGAATACGTACAAATTAAATATATTTCATGTGAATTAGGTGAAAATCCTGAAGAAAGGAAAAATAATTAGATTCAACAACAGCACAACAGTTTCCTTCAAATCTGAATCTGAAAGTTTAATCTTGACACTGAGACGGTTTCGATTCTCAAACAGGTTTTATTTTACAACAAGAATCAAAACAAACCAGTTATTTTGTTCAAAGTGAAAACTATAAATACATTTTACAGTTTGGATCATTAACTAAAATAAAAAAGTGTAAACAGGAAGACGAACAGATGCAATGCTGCGGTTCTCCTCCTATCCTCCAGGGGCAGCGCCTGCTCTCACTGCATCTTCAGGATGTCAGGGATGAAGTCCTGGGCGTCTCTCAGTCCATCCTTCCACTCCTGAGGGACGCCAGCTCCGAGGTACGACCCCCCTGCCCCAAGCAGGGCGCCCAGAGCTGCACCGCGGTTACAGTTCTCACCTGAACACACAGGAAGTACGACAAGTAAACAAGTACTAACCACAAAAATAAACTTTATTCTATTTCATGTTTTCACTGTGAAAAGTGTACAAACCTCCACAGTTGGTGTTGGTCAGGATTCCTCCTCTGAGGTCGTTGTGAAACTCGTGAGCCAAGTAGAACATGCTGGACAGAGCACCTGTAAACACAGGTAAGACTTTCAAACTAAAATCTCGAGATCATTCTATAGACTTCCTGGCTCTCTCTGACCTTTGGTGTAGCAAGCAAGGCCGAGGTCGTTGACGGCGCTCTGATGCACCTTCAGTCGTTCCTCAGACGACTCAATAAACCTGCGACACACAAACTTTTGTTTAAGGTATAAAACATATCCGAAACAATTCAGTGAACTTTACCACATCCATTTAAATGTCTTTATAATGAAATCACAGTTAGACTGTTTCACATTAAAAGCCTTTACACTCAAAGTATGTTATTCCTTCTTTTGGCTTTTATTGTGAAATACCTGCAGGAAGTGGTTATAGTGTCAAAAGCTGAACGTATATTTCACATCAAAAGCTTTTCAGAAACTTAAAGCTCATCCCTTCCTTTTCTATCAGTCTTTTATTGTGAAAGTGACTGGACTTGACGCCTTAAATAAATTCTTATTCTCGGACGTTCGACCTGGCGGCCTTGTGGCTGTATCTCTGGCAGGTGTCCCAGACGTTCAATCTCCTCAGAGCGTGTTCGGCCTGCTGTCGCACGCTGGCGCCCCCTAGCACCGCGTGCAGCGCCCGGCTGTAGATGGACACATACTCGGACACTTTGGGGTGGGGGTGGGTGAGCTTCACAAACTCGACGGCTGCGGAAACCTGGAGACAGAGAACAGAATATGGACGCTTGTTCTCTAAAACATCCGTCAGGCTGCATCTTTTCGTCAGTGTAGAAAACTCACAGCCTTCTCCTCACTGGCCGAGGCCGACAGCAGGATGAAGGGGAGGCTCATGGGAAAGCAGCCGATGGCGTCCAGCTGGCTGTCAGGGAATGCGGAGTTCAACTTAAACATGGAGCGTTTTTCTGCAAATGTGAGAACCTAGAAAACACGAAGAACAGCGTGACCCACAGGTCATGTGGTTAAGTGGCTGACACGTGTTGGGGGCGCTTGTTTTACCTGATGGGGTGAAGTCGGTCTGCTCTCCTGCCAGTCGGCGAAGAACGAGCGGTGGAAGGACTCGGCGTAGGTGTCGTTGTGGCTGCCGGGCGTCGTCAGGAACTGAACATAGTCTGAGAGCACGGCTGCTCGAGCGTCCGGGTGAGAAGCGTCGGTGAAACCACCACCAACGAGCGACCGAGCCACTCGGAGGGAACAGAGGGCGTTCAGTGTGTTATCACCCGCCTGAAGACCTGGAGACCACACAGACACATGACAACATTCAGCCTCGACTCTCAGGAGCTCAGCCGAGGCTGTGACGAGCGTTACCTCTGTGATAGTGGACGGAGCCTCTGGATGATTTCCACAGGTTTCGTTTATCGTGGAGAATGACGTTGCCGACCACGTCAGGCTGCTTCACCTCAGACGACCAGGCGGTCCGACCGCTGCCGGCTGCAAAACGACAAATGGACACGTGAGAGAATGGACACGATAAAACTTCTGCACGATAACACTAATTAAGTTGAGTCTTTTTTAAAGGTAGATTTTATGGCTAGTTTTTTCCCGCAGTGATAAAGTGAATCAGAACTTTGTGTTGAGTTTGATTAAGTCCAGTTTCTAATAAATGAATATAAGAAGTGTGTGTCTGTTAATGAGACTTTAAAGCTTTTTACCTGAAAATTATACATTTTGTCGTTTATCAGGGAAAAAAGTGCACGTGATTGGTTTTGGTCAGGTGGGCGGAGTTTTGTACCAGTGTTGGACAGACTCATGATGCTGGATGGGTGTCGCTCTCTGGGTGACGAGAATCCTGAGATCCAGCCGCCAAAGTCCCTCCGGATGTCACCAACGTCATAGTACCAGTGGACTGGCATGGAGGCGGAGTCTGCCGCACACATTGCCCAAAAGGCCTCACCCACTGCCCGCCGCACCTGAGACATGTCACCTGAGGAGGAGGAGGAGCCTAAAGAGTTTACATCAGGAAATGACCACAAACTTTGGCTTTGATCTTTAGTGACACGTTTGAGGTTCGTGGTTCAGCTCAGTGTAGAACCAGAATCAGTAGAACATGTAGAACCAGAATAAATAGAACGTGTAGAACCAGAATCAATAGAACCAGAAGCA